TTTAATCCTACAGATATATTCAGTTTCATTTAGTCCTCAGATGAGGCAGGCGGCCATTAAACAATGCAGCTGTGATCAATTTAAAAATGCCACAGAAAAAATCTCCGTCCCACTTCTTGTTTCCATTCAGAGGGAAAGTTTCCTTTCCTGTTTTCCACAGTTTTTGTTCCTGGATTCATTTTTGACTCTAATAGTCTGATGCAGACCTCGTTTGTTCATATTGTCCCTCCAAGAAGTCAAAATGTCCATGTTAAGGTCATTCTCATCACTTATCCAGACAACCTGAATGAGTTTCTTTGGTGTTCGGGTTTGTTTTAGATACGTTATGTGTTTTAAAATAATCAACATAAGAATAATGGGAGAACATCACAACTGAGGTGCAACAGCTGAAAATTAGAAGTAAAAGTGAAACATTTCTACTGAAAGTAGAAAGATTTCACTTAAAGAGCATTTAAGAAAAAGCTAACAGTAGCTCGTGTTAGCTAACATTAGCTCACTTTAGCTAACATTAGCTCACGTTAGCTAACATTAGCTCACCTTAGCTAACATTAGCTCACTTTAGGTAACATTAGCTCACCTTACCTAACATTAGCTCGCGTTTGCTAACATTAGCTCACCTTAGCTAACATTAGCTGGCAGCCAACATTTAGTGACACAATCAGGCACTGATGGACGCAGGGACTGAACAGAGAATACAAAAACAGTTGTTTATTAGGAAATAAACTTGTTCTCAGTCAGACAGGCCAGGGTCAGAACCAGGGAATCCAAATCGGGGTCAGGCGGTTCCAGATCTCAGGGTCAGACAGACAGGGGGTCAAAGCCAGGAGGTCCTTATCCAGTGGAGAGGGTCCGGATCGGGGACAGGAGAGGCAACTAGGCAGAAGGAAGAGACAGACGGNTAGTTACTGGGCAGATAGCTGGAGTTTCTACAGCANGCCTGAAGGTAATACCGCTGAGGGTTTCACAACAATCTGACACCGTGCAGGGGGAAGATCCGTCCTTATATGGCAGCAGCTGGGGATCAGGGTGATGATGATCAGGTGTGAGTGGTCACTGCTCAGCAGTAGCTGTGACAGTTGGCAGCCTGAGAAGAAGTGAAGACTGGAGTAACGTGAACTCTCTAGCTTGGTAAGAGTCGAGCTGCAGCTTTCTGCAGTTTGAACGTGATGCATTGCAGATTTATCAAAAAACAGTTAACAAGGTCATTAAAATAATCCACCTAAGAGAAAAACATGCAACATGGCTTCCAGTTCACACAGAGACACCACAGTTTAGCTACAGCTTTTAAAAGATTAAAACAGTTTTGAGCTAATTACCAGGAATAAAGACCAAGAGACGTGAAACTCTGACATTAGAATGAAACTAACATTATATAACTGAAATCTTTCTGATTTCAGGAATCTTTTCAGAGATTCAACAGTTTAAATTTAACCATAATCTTAATCTTGATGATTTTAAAAAACCTCAGAGGATTTAAAATAATGGGATAACTGGATTTAGATATGTAAAGTACCCAAAAGGGTGCTTACATATTACTTATAAATAATAGGTCACACATAGAAATTCACTATAATCTGCATAAATATCAGAAATTTTGCTGAAGATTTAATCTCTAGACTTCTTCACTCCTGGTTTTCTTCAATCAGGTTTTATTTCCAAACATGTCAAAACTAAATATGTAAAATCTGCATTAAAGTTAATTTTTAACTGGCTGAATTTGGGGATTTATTCCATTTCCTCTGGTTTTCCGTCAGATGCAGCTTTTCTGCTCTGTTTTCTCCAGACTGCTGGGGGAAAGTCAGATTCTGCTGAACTCTGACCGTTAGAAACTGGCTCCCAGGATGAGCGCTGCTCACCACAGGATGCTTGATCCACGTCAGTTTAAACCAAACTGACCCAGATACAGATGAAACCTGTTGATTTCCACTGCTGGTTTATTTCTCACCATGTTTACGTCTTCGTTTCCCAGTAGAGCTCTTCTGCTTCAGCTGAACAGGAAGTTAGCCGCTAATAGCAAAGCTAATGTTTAGCTTACCATTTTAGCTAACTTTGAAATAACACACGTAGCTTTCCCTAAATTAACTTTTGCAGACATTTTCCAGAACTCTAACATCCTTGGCTGTTTTGTTAACCTTCAGTTGTTTTTTACAGGTTTATAACCAGCACTGCTCTGTCTCCATCCTTGTCTCTCAGCTTTCTGTGGTGGTTTTCCAGCTGCCACGGCCGAGTTCTCCCTGCAGCAGCCTGCGGTGGTCGCCGGCCCGCTGGGCCAGGACGTCCTGCTGCCCTGCCAGCTGCTGGACTCCCAGCATGAGAAGCTCCTCAACCAGCCCGTCCTGTACTGGGAGGTCGATGGGAAACAGCTCCCGTTTAACGAGAACAAAACCTCCTCCAGTTTCAACAAATCCATTGAGCTGAAGGAGGTGCGGTGGTCCGACGGCGGGACGTACGAGTGCAAACTGTCCATGAGAACCGACAGGAGAGGAAGCTTCAGGCTGAAGGGAAACAAAACCACACTCATCGTCCACGGTAGAGTCCCAACCTCTCTGCTGCCTGAGACGTTTGTTTCCAGCAGGATTTTATAGAAATGATGAGTTTTAACGAAGCTGACCGAGCAGCCGGGCGAATTACAGACAGAAATATGAGAATGAAGAAAGTAGATTCCTGGTGTCCTGAATTTAAGACTTAGAAAACCAAACTCAATCATCTGCTAATGAATTAAAGCAGGGGTGTACAACGTGCGGCCCGGGGGCCATACGTGGTCCTTGGACTTATTTTTTAGGGCCTCAATCTGCAGCTCAAGACTGACCTAAAACTTTTTATTTTTAATCATGGTAAAATTAATACAAACATTATTTTCTTACAATGGAAAACATTAAGTACAACACAAAGCTTTTCAAATTCAATTCAAAATTTTATTTGAAAAATAATGTGTTGGTCCCAGAGGGAAATGAAATGTTGTTGTAGCTCAAATTAATTCAGATTCTTCTAAGAGTTATTGCAGATAATAATGACTGTTGGCATCTTATAAGTAGAATCATATTTATCCAGACACTTTCACTGAAAAGTCAACATGTTTAATTTATTAAACTCGGCTGAATATAGCAAACATTTTGAAATAAAATGACACAAATCCTGTTTAAATAACACAGAATAAATTTGTGATATTGAACCAAATTTGATAACTAGACATTTTTCCGTAAATTCATCAAATGTGCAGAAATTCTTTCTACCCTTTGAAACTAGAATGAATAAAATTACTTTTCTACAAAAAGAAATTAAATCTGACGACTTTATTTGCTCAATTTTAATTTGGGGGATTTTGACTCAACAATTTTGGACAAAAAGTTTGTACACCCTGAATTAAAATTTAAAACACATTTAAAAAAAACCTTTACATCTTTTTACCTAAATCACAGAGAAAACAGAAGGAATCAACTAAAGTTCGTCTTAAAAGCAACAGTGTGTCATTTCAGACACCATGACCTTTAACCTCTCCAGTCACCATGACTCCCTGCTGCGCTGTGAGGTCACCGTGTCGCAGGATCCGGGTTTGACTCTGACGCTGACCAGAAACGGCTGCGTCGTGCAGAGCTCCGCCCCCTCAGAGCGCCGCGCCGCCAACGGCACCATCACTCTGTCTGCCACCGTCCATCTGAGCGGCAACGGGCAATATGGCTGCCAACTGAGGCTGCAGGACGTCCTGATAACCAGCAGCTCCTTCCACAGCCAGCAGGCGGGTAGATATCAGCTTCAAGGTGAATCCTTCAAAAACAGAAGAATAAATTCACTGGTTCTATCTGAACATTAGAGATGCATGCATGTTTTCTGTCCGATGCAAAAGAGGTTTTAAATAAAATCAGGATCATTATTACTTTTCATTTCAGCAGCTGGAAAAGATGCAACATCAACATATCATTCTTAGCAACTTTCATTTTTATTCCTGCTGAAATGGACATTTTTAGAATTTCTGTGAGCCGTAGTTAAATTCCCAGCATGCCGTAGTTCCAGCTGTGTGTTTCTGTGAGCCGTAGTTAAATTCCCAGCATGCCGTAGTTCCAGCTGTGTGTTTCTGTGAGCAGATGAGCGGCGCCGGTACTCGGAGCCGTGGCTCCTCTACGCGGGCCTCCTGCTGGTGCCGGCCCTGGTCCTGCTGGCCGTAGTGGCGGCCATGTTGATGTGCAGATGAGCTCCCCTGTCCTCCTGGTGGCCCGGTTCTACTGGACCGCACGCAGCTCTTCAGGTGGGATTCACATCCCCTCGTTTCCATGACAACCAGCAGGACATCCGGACCGGAGGATGAGAACCGTTCTGGATGTGAATCCCGGCCCACTCGTCTCGGTTCCTCTTCTTCTGAACTCACTTCTAGTTTCTGCGAAACTGTTAGATTAAAACTGACATTAAGAACTTTTAAGAAAAACAACATTTCTCGCTTCATTTCAAACGTTTTTATTTAATTAATTTTTGTTTTAAGCAAAAAACATTTTTATATTTTTAAATTTTGTGTATTTGATATTTTTGTTTATTGAATGTCTTTGTGGTTTATTTCTTGAAATGTGCTGCATAGTCAAAGTTTTAGCTTCAGTTTTCCAGCCCCACAGCATGATACTGCCACCTCCATGATTCCCAGTTTCATCCCCATTTCTTGTCTGAAAGAAATATTTTGGTTTATGTCATAAAGAAAAAATGTGGGTGTCCACAAGCCTGTCACAATAATACATTTTGCTGAGCAATTAATTGTCTCAAAATTATTGTGATAAACAATAACATTGTTTGAAGACTATTTTAAACTGATGTAATGGTAATGACATAATAATGCAGGAACATCCTGACAAAAATAAATGCACTTAATTTTCAAATTAACATTTAAAACGAACTGGTGAATAAAATAAACAAAACAACCAAAAATGAAAATAAAACGGACTCTCAGTCATGTTAACAATAAATGCACTTGAATAAAAACAAAAAAATATAAAACCAAAGTGGAAATAAAACTTAGATAGAGAAGGTGGGCATCTCTGATGCTATATTTATCCTCCTGACACTAAGGAACGATGGAGGGAGGGTCAGTGGAGTTCAGCCGTTTTCATCAACAGAAACAGAAAAGGCAGGAAGAAACGATAAAATGAAGTCAATGATGTTAATTTATCGTGCGATTAATTGATTTATTGTAACAGGCCTAGATGTTCATTTTTCAAAGTCATACTTTCATCACAGTATTAATACATTTATAAATATCAGCGTTCCAAAATACATATTTACTTAACAGGTTTCAAATTAAATATTTAGTTAGGAAGCTAAATGTTTAATCCCAAACCAAATATTTATTTTCCAAATGTAACGTTTAATTTCTAAACTAAATATTTAGCTATTTAACTAAATATTTAATTTGAAAGCTAAATATTTAGTCTGTAAACTAAATATTTAGATTGTTAGCTACATATTTACCTCACAACTAAATACTGAAATCCAATACGAAATTTAACTCAGACCTAAATGTTTATTTTTTTGGAGATACATATTTAGCTTCCTAACTAAATATTTTAATTGAAAACTAAATACTTAGCTTTCATACTAAATTTTTAGTTTGTAAATTAAATATTTTCTTAAATAAACCAAATTATTGCTGTAAATTTTTTACAGTTTTACTTTTGACCTGAATCTCGTTTCTCTCAGTTTTGGCCTCCAAACATTTAATGTTTATTTTTCTGCTGCTTAAATTCTGCAGAAACTCAGAGCTCGGAAACTTCCTGCTTTCCTGGAAACGAAACAGCAGATTAGTCACCCTGAGACTCTGCGGCGGTTCACGGCTGCCGGACGCTCCCAAGGCCCCGGGCCCCTGACCCAGACCCCGACCCTGACCCAGACCCCGACCCTGACCCAGACCCC